CTCACTATTTTGAGAACTGTAGGGAAGGTAGAGGATTCGATGGATTTGTTAAAGAGTGTTGCAATGATTGGTGACAGCACTTGCAACACTTTTTTGCATATAAAGGGTGGTAAGGTATTTAAATCTCCTGTCTTGTTTTTTAGTGTGTTGATAATAAGGGAGACTTCTGTTGGGTTAGTCAGAGCTAGGAACAGTGTGTTCGGGTAGTTGCCAGTGAGGTAGTCATTGGGTGGGGTATTTGAGCTTGGGATTTTATTGGCAAGGTTTTTTCCTATGGTGGAGAAGAAATCATTGAGTCTGTTTGCTGTTTCAGTTGGTGGGAGTTGGGGTTCATCTGGCTTTGTTAGTTCAATTGCGCCGTTTCGTGATATCTTTTTTGTTCCTAGAATTTCTGATAGGGTTTTCCAGGTCTTTTTTATATCACCTTTTAAGTTGGATAATCTGTTCTTATAATACAATTTTTTGGCCCTTCTTATCAGGCTGGTTAGGATTGACGAGTAACGTTTTGTTTGGTCTCTGGTTATGTGACCCATTCTGTACTGTTTTTTGTAAAGGTGCTTTGTATTTATGGATTTGAGGATGCTGGGTGTTAGCCAGGGACTGTTCAGCCTCTTAGCTGTCATCTGTTTAGTTTTTTAGGGCAGTGCTTTTTATAGAGGTATTGGGTCTTTTAGAAAATTATTAATACTTTCGTCAATATCTGTATAGATTTCTAGCTCAGTGTGCCAGTCAATGTTTGTCACTGCTGTTGTGAAGTTATTAATGGCTGCCTCATTGTGAAGTCATAGTAGTGTCTTGGGGTAATTTACCTAGATTAGTTATGAGGAAAGTAGGGTAGTGGTCTGTGGTATTATCTGTGATTATGCCTGATTTTAAAGGGGATATGATGTTGGTCCAGATGTGGTCTAGTAGGGAAACACTAGTCTCTGTAATTCTTGTAGGTTTTGTTACTGTTGGTAGCAACAAGCAGTTACTCATAGTGTTTGCGAATTCAGTAACGTGTGGGTCATGGTCTTGCAGATTTATATTGAAGTCACCTGAGAGTAGTAAGTGATCTTTATTCATGCGTGCATCAGTTATCATACTTCCTAGGTTTTCACTAAAATGGCTAATGTTTGACTGTTGTACTCTGTAGATGTTTATCACTGAGAAAATTTAGAGTGTGGAAATTAGGAAGTGTGGAGTTAATAAAAGTATTAGTCATATGGGTGAAGAGGAGTTATTGAGATAGCTTGGTCATTTAGAGAAAATGGATCAAAGTAGAATGACATGGAGAGCGTATAAATCTGTAAGGGAAGGAAGGCGGGGTAGGGGTTGTCCTTGAAAAGGTTGGAGGGAGGGGGTAAAGGAGGTTTTGTGGGCAAGGGGCTTGGACGTCCAGCAAGTGTACGTAAGCATGTTAGATAGGAGTGAATGGAGATGAATGGTTTTTGGGACCTGACGAACTGTTGGAGTGTGAGCAGGGTAATATTTAGTGAAGGGATTCAGGGAAACCGGTTATTTTTATATAGCTGGACTTGAGTACTGGAAATGGGAAATACAATACTTGCACTTTGAAGGATGGGTTTGGATTATTGGCAGTTTGGAGGGATATGTTATATATCTTTATATATGCTTCTAAACTGTTGTATCGGGGCACCTCTGCAAAAACAGTGATTGTGTATGAGTTAGGTGAAAGTGTTGAATGATGATGAATGTATTTTCTTTTTGGGGATTTTCTTTCTTTTTGGGTCACCCTGCCTCAGTGGGAGATAGCCGACTTGTTGAAAAAAAAAAAAAAAACTTCCCTTCTTTGTCTTTTAATGCCACTAAGACCAGCTTGAGAGCCACTGGACCACTGTCGCTCAAAATGACTTTCAAGAGTGCTGTGTTTCTGGCGTCTGCCTAAAATGAGACATTGTTTTGTCACTGATCGTGTTGCAGAGACGGCTTATTTCAGCTTGCTCAGGATGCTATTTTTCCACAAAACTGCAACTTATTCCACATTCCACACATGTCCTTAATCACTGAAGAAGGCACCTCCTTCACTTCCTCTTCCTCCTCCTCTAAAGCAAGTCCTCATCTGTGGTCTGATGCTGTTCCAGTTGAAGCTCTTGCTTCAACTGCTGCTACTAGGAAGTTTCTTTGGTCCCATGGTGGCTTATTTCACAGTTACATTCAATGAACAAGCACTAAACACAATGAATTTATTGTGAAATGTTTGGATGAGGAAGCAGGGTAATGTTCAATCAAGGATAAACAAAGCTAGACTGGCTCATGACGCCTTTGCAGGGAGGCGTGCAGGCATGGGTAGGCAGACAGGTCTGGTACACCGGCCGAAACTTGGGGCAACGACTGAAACTCAGGACAAAATTTAGCCAAAAAAAGCTGTCGAAAGCGGCCAATACTCAGGGCGACCAAAATTCTGGGTTCCACTATAACAGTATTACAATTAGTTAATTTAGTAATCGGAATGGTTTTATCTGAGCATGATACACTGTTACTATAAATGCTCCTATATTGGGAAAGTATGTATTTCAGACAAGCTTAAGACTAACTTAAGATTTATTAGGCAATAACTATATTAGAAATTTTATGTTTACAGTCATTTGGGTGAGTGTTAGTGCAAAACGGGAATTACAGATAACGAGAGTAAGTCTATTTTGTTTTTGATGTGTTCACGATACAAAATAGAGAACGGATGTTTTTCACGTAGCTGATGGTAAGGTGTGTTACGGTATTGTGCCTTTTTTGTTATTTTGTGTCTGGTATTGTGTCTATGGGTCCTGTTGCAACTGTCAAGAAAGTGTTTTAGTTCAGAGTTAATATTAGAGTTGATGGTTCTGTAACTGTAGGTTGCAGAGTAGTAGGTGTGAATGTTTTGTACTGTGAGTAAGCTTAGGTCTTTGAAGAGTGGGAGGGTGTGTTGTCTAGCATTGGATTACGTGATAATTCTTACTGCAGCTTTTTGTTGGGTGATTATTGGCTTTAGGTGGGTTTCTGCTGTTGATCCCCAGGCACAAATAGCATAGGTGAGGTAGAGGTAGATGAATGAGTAGTGTAGTTTGAGTAGGGCTGATTGTGGTACATAGTAACATATATTTGAGAGGATCCCAACTGTTTTCGATACTTTTGTTATGTGTTGGATATTGGTGTTGAATTTCAGGCTGCTGTCAGGGTGCAAACTCAGGAATTTGCCCTCAATATGTTTAGCAATAAGAGTGTTGTCAATCATAATGTTCAGCTGGGCATCATCTGTTCTGCTCCCAAACATAATGTAGAAGGTTTTGTCAGTATTAAGTGTAAGTTTATTGTATACAAAAATACAGTGGAACCTCAGATATCGAACTTTCTTCGTTCCAGACAACTGTTTGAGTGCCGTTACCAAATGAATTTATTCCCATCAGGAATAATGTAAATTAGATTAGTTCATTTCAGACCCTCAAAAATACACATATAAAAGCACTTAAAAAAATACACTTACATAATTGGTTGAGCTGGGAGCAGTTCAATATTTGGGGTTCCACTGTATATGAAAGATGGGGTAAACCATGGAAATAACAAAAAAGGCACAATACCGTGACTGGAACGATACACAAATAACCCGCACATAAAAGAGAGAAGCTTACGACGACGTTTCGGTCCGACTTGGACCATTGACAAAGTCACAGTGTGACTTTGTCAATGGTCCAAGTCGGACCGAAACGTCGTCATAAACTTCTCTCTTTTATGTGCGGGTTATTTGTGTAAACCATAGAATTAATGAAGGGATAAATGTGGGTAGTGCACTGAGGTATCTCTGGAGACAGAGAGCATTATCCATGGAGGCAAAGAAGGAAATGTGTGAGAGTATAGTGGTACCAAAACTTATATGGGTGTGAAGCATGGATTGTGAATGTTTCAGTGAAAAGGAGGCTGTAGGCATTGGAGATGTCATGTCTAAGGACAATGTGTGGCATAAATATTATGCATAGAATTTGTAGTGTAGAAATTAGGAGATGTTGAGTTACTGAAAGTATTATTCAGAGGGCTGAGAAGGGGTTGTTGAGGTGGTTTGGTCATTTAGAGAGGATGGAACACAATAGGATGACTTGGAGGATGTATAAATTTGTAGTGGAGGAAAGGCAGAACAGGAGTCATCTTAGATAAGGATGGAGGGAGATGGTAAAGGAGGTTTTGTATACATGGGGCTTGGACATACAGCATGCAGTATGAGCGTGATAGATAGGAGTGAGTCTGGATGAATGGTTTTTCGGACTTAATGAGCTGTTAGCCGGTGAGCAGGGTAATACTTTGTGAAGGGATTCATGGAAACCAGTTAGCTGGACTTGAGTATTGAAGGTGGGAAGTACTGTGCTTGGACTGCAGTGGAGGGGTTTGGGATATTTGCTATTTAGAGGAACATCTGAACTGTCATATCTGTGCACCTCTGGCAAGAGAGTGATAGTGTAAATGATGGTGAAAGTGTTTCTTTTTCAGGTCACTATTTTTTAACACATTGGCCATCTCCAATCGAGGCAGGGTAATCCAAAAAAGAAACACTTTTACCATCATTTACACAATAACTGTCTTGTCAGAGGCACATTGATATGGCAGTTTAGATGTTAGGTAAAAGGACACAAATTCAACTAATGTGACATATAATTGTGGCAACATTTTGCTTTCGCTCTCCTTTTACCTAACATATTGTTGGTAATTCTACCAACATAATTGCAGTTTAAATGTTCCTCTAAACAGCAGATATCCCAGACTCCTCCTTTAGAGTGCAGGTGCTGTACTTTCCATCTCCAAAACTCAAGTCTGGCTAACCAGTTTTCCCTGAATCCCTTCACAAAATATTACCTTGCTCACACACTCTAACAGGTTGTTAGGTCCCAAAAACCATTTGTCCCCACTCATTCTTGTCACACACACACTCACACATTTGCACTCTGTTTTTCCATTTCTTAATACAATGGTTTAAAATATCAACATTTGTGTCTTCAGACATAATTAACACTACTACAGTATTTTCTTTTTAGGAAATGCTTGAATTGGAGCAAGAGTTACAAGCACTTTATACTGAGCAGAAGAATGCTAAACAGGAAGAATTGGAGGCTGCTAGAGCCTCAGCTGTTACCAGGTCTGTATTATGTTGTAAATATTGTCCAATAAGATTAAGAATGATGGAGAAAAATGGTATTAAATACCGACAAGATGGATAATCACAAATGCAGTATAATCTGATCCTTTACTGACACTGTTTTACCCAGATCTGCTTGTGACCTGATAAAGCTCACTGTGTGGATGAAATGTTGGCAGTAAAGGAACGTATTATACTGTATTTGTGTCTGTTCAAGATTAAGTACTTTTTATCTTTCAGGGTTCTTCAGTTATGATGTAAATTCTTTAAATGTTAGTTAGTTTATTTACAATATCACCCTCACAATGGCTGGTGTGGGAGTGGAGATCAGTACTGAGAATCAAAGTTAACAATATTGATACAGTGTAGACCAGTAGAACAATCTGATTAAATTCTCTGCTGTATGAGCTTTTCCTTTAGTTTTCAATACCTTTAACCTTAACAAGTGGTTTTATATGGTAATTCCATATGCGCCTTCCATTATTTTGCTTTGCACCTGTTAATTGTTTTAAATGAATCAGTTACCTTCTGACAGTCCTTGGAATTTTCCCTGTGTAGCCAGATTTTATTTCCAGCTCTAATTGTTGTCTTGTTTCTCATAAACCTGGAAAGATTTATAAATTAATTAATAGGGAGTCATCTTAACCCAAATTTAGTAAGTGATACATGGATCTGACACTAGATTTTGAAGATTAGTACTGCTTTTATAGGGATGTGTGGCAAAGTCAACATTCTCTAATTTTTCTTGCTGCTGAATACTTCTGGATCTTCCTCCATCAATTTTTAAGGGATTAATGTACATAAAAACATTTATACTGCTAAATGCACCAACTATGCAGACATATTAGATTATTAAGCTGTTATCCTAACAGGACCTAAACTTTAAATTTACTCTGGTATTGTATAGAACATACCTTGGTCAAGGCATTGGCTTAAGCCGGTGGGAGAATTGGACCTGCCTCGCATAGGCCAGTAGGCCTGTTGCAGTGTTCCTTCTTTCTTATGTTCTTATGTTCTTATCAATGTTGTTTATATAAATTGTGAACAACAAAGAGCCCAACACTGACCCCTGTGGAACACCACTCATGATGCACCCCCACTTTGATTTCTCCCTATTGATGCAAACTCTCTGCTGCCTGTCTGTCAACCACACATTTGTACAATGGCTTGATTACCCATCTTTTTTTTTTTTTTACACTGATTGTTGCCTAGTCTTGTTTGCCTTTAACCCTTAAACTTTCCAAACGTAGATCTACGTTTGTGCGTGTAGCGCTCCAACCTTGATTTTCTCCATAAGAAACAATGAAAAAACGTAGGTCTATGTTCGGAGCGCTACATGAGCAAACGTAGATCTACGTTTGGACAGTTTAAGGGTTAAAGGATAAGGCCAAGTGTAGAAAACAGAAATCACTAGAAAGAAAGAAAATATTCAAGAGGCTTACTGAGGAAAAGGTAGTTAAGAATCCGTACTGATTGGCATTTCTTTTATTAAATAAAATTGGGTGCATCACCATTGTGCTGCATACTACCCTAATCTGCATGATAATTACATACTGGATAGTGGAATCAACTGATAGGAGGTGAGTATATGATAATTACACAGTAGAAACAACTGATAATTTTATTAATTGATGATTTTTCAGGAGCAGTAATATATCAGTAGCAGCAGAAGCAGCGATTTCTGACCTAGAGCGAAGTTTAAATGAAGTATTGCGAGAACGACAAGCAGATATTAAGAAGGAACATAACAACCAAATGGCTATTTTGAGAGATGAATTAGATAAGGAACTTGAGAAGATAGCAAGGGAGGCTAAGGAAAAGGTTTGATTTTTTATTTTATCTGTATATTGTTCCTTCTTTTTATTTTTAGTAAGCTGTTTGGGAAAAGGGGTTACTAGCCCATTGCTCTCAGCATTTTACTTGACTTTTACAACACACATGGCTTACAGAGGAAAGATTCTTATTACACTTCCCCATGGATATGAAAGGAAAATAATAACAAGAACTGAGCATGTTAGATAGGAGTGAAGGAAGATGAATGGTTTTTGGGACCTGATGAACTGTTGGAGTGTGAGCAGGGTAATATTTTGTGAGTGGATTTAGAGAAACCGGTTAGCTGGACTTGAGTCCTGGAGATGGGAAACACAATACTGCACTTTAAAGGAGGGTTTTGGGATATTGGCTTTTTGGAGTGACATCTAAAATGTCATATCTGAGCACCTCTGCAAAGACAGTGATTATGTATGAATGATGGTGAAAGTATTGAATGATGATGATAATTTTTCTTTCTTTTTTTGGGTCACCCTGCCTCAGTGGGAAATGGCCGATGTGTTAAAAAACTATTAAGAAAAAATTAAAGAAAACTCAGATGAGTATGTATACATAAAGGTGTACATGCATGTGTAGGAGGTGGGAAGTACAGTGCCTGCACTTTAAATTAGGGGTTTGGGATATTGGCTGTTAGGAGCAACATCTAAACTGTCATATTTGAGCACCTCTGCAAATCAGTAATTATGTGTGAATGATGGTGAAAGTGTTTCTTTTTTGGGTCTACCTGCCTCAGTGGGAGTCGGCCATGTTAAAAAAAATCTATACGTATATGTATTGTACGGGTGTGCCTCATTTTATGCTGTAAATGCATTCCAGAACCGTGGCAGCTGTTCTAGTCTCAGTTTTGCTTATCAGGAATCTCCAGGTATGCTTTGTGAATGATTTCAATCAAATACAGCAAATTTATTCTACATAATATGAATTTTTAACCAGAAAACACTACATATTTAGTAGCAAATTTTCATAAAATGAATCTACATAAAGAGAGGTAAAACTGTACTAGTAAAAATGTAATGAAAATTATTATACTGTTTTAAGCTGAAAAACAGTAATAGTGGACCCCCAGATATCGGCCATTGTGGATATTGGCCAAATCGGATTTTGGCCGCTTTTTTGGCTGAAATTTTATCCTGGATTTTGGCAGGAAACTCAGAAATCAGCCGTATTGAACGCATCCGCCCGCCACTCCACCGCATTCATGAGTCAGTCTGGCTGTATCTCTGGGTGTGAGCAACACTCTGCCCATTCATCCTAATATTTTGTTATAATCCATTGTGCATTGAATGCCACATATAAACTAAATGATGTAGATCTTAATACGTACTACTGATTACGAAAAGGATTTAGGAGTTCTGGTTAGCAGTAATTTAAAACCAAGACAACAGTGCATTAGTGTTCGCAATAAAGCTAACAGAATTCTTGGCTTCATATCTAGAAGTATAAATAATAGAAGTCCTCAGGTAGTTCTTCAACTATATATATCCTTGGTTAGGCCTCATTTAGACTATGCTGCTCAGTTCTGGTCACCGTATTACAGAATGGATATAAATGCTCTGGAAAACGCACAGAGGAGGATGACAAAGATGATCCCATGTATCAGAAATCTTCCCTATGAGGATAGACTGAGGGCCCTGAATCTGCACTCTCTCGAAAGGCGTAGAATTAGGGAGGATATGATCGAGGTGTATAAATGGAAAACAGGAATATATAAAGGGGATGTAAATAGCGTGCTGAAAATTTCCAGCCAAGACAGGACTCGCAGCAATGGTTTCAAGTTGGAAAAATTCAGATTGAGAAAGGATATAGGAAAGCACTGGTTTGGTAATAGAGTTGTGGATGAGTGGAACAAACTCCCGAGTACAGTTATTCAGGCTAAAACGTTGTGTAGTTTTAAAAGTAGGTTAGATAAATACATGAGTGGGTGTGGGTGGGTGTGAGTTGGACATGACTAGCTTGTGCTGCTGGGTCTGGTGCAGTGCTCCATCCTTGAGTGGCGATGATCAGACTGGGTGGGTCATTGGGCTAATCTGGGGGGGTGGGTCATTGGTCTAATCCGGGGAAGGGGGGACATGGACCTGCTCCGCATGCATCAGTAGGCCTGTTGCAGTGTTCCTTCTTTCTTATGTTCTTATGGGCCCAAAGAAAGTTCCTAGCGCCAGCCCTTTGGTAAAGAAAGTGAGAACATGATAGAATTCAGTGACAAAACCTTGTCCCACTTCAGGCAAATCTTAAACTAGAAACAGACCTTTCAGGACAGTTTTTTTATGCGACAGGGGTGCAGTGACTCTCAAGCTGGTCCTAGTGCCAGTAAAAGACAAAGAAGGGAATTAACCCCGGATAGGGACTTGATACCTGAAGTCCTTATGGAAGGGGATTCCCTTTCCAAACAATAGCCCCAACTCCCTCTTCCCTTCTTGCCTTCTTCCATACACCAACAAGAGACTTCAATGAAGGTATGTAATGTTCATTTATCATTAAAATTTGTGCTTTATATTTATTTCTCATTGTTTTCTGTATGTAAAACTATAGTTAATCTTTAAAAAATGTATTTTTTGTTAATATTTTTGGGTGTCTGGAATGGATTAATTGTATTTACATTAATTCTTATGGGAAATATTACTTCTGTTTTCAGCCTTTTCGGATTTAGGCTGACCTTCTGGAATGGAATACGGCCAAAATCCAAGGTTCCACTGTATAGAGAATATTCTGCTTAGATTTAAATATGGTTTATCATATTGAGAACAGATTGTTCAGAGTATCAGTAACCTCTTATAATATCTAGGAAAAGATCTTGTCTTGTCTTAGGTTGTGTTCCTTTGCCCTAGTCCAGGGTATCTGTACAGACCTCAGGGAAATTTTAGGGGAGCCTTTTGATATTAATTTTTTTACCACTGTCTTTCTCTCATCATTTTTCATTTAATAGCTATCTTGCCAGAAGTGCACAGATGTCACAATTAAATTGACTATCCAGAAGTAACATGTCCACCCCTCCTTCAAAGTGCAGGCACCATACTTCCTACATCCAGTGCTAAAGTCTAGCTAAGTAGTTTTGCAGAATCTCTTTATAAATGTTACCTTGCTCACTCTCCAACAGCATGTTAGTCCCTATAACCTCTTGTTTCCATTCACCCCGCTGGATGCTCAAGCCCCTATTATTTAACCCTTTGACTGTTTCAGTTGTATACAGTAGGGCCCCGCTTTACGGCGTTTCACTTTACGGCTTTCCGCTAATACGGTCATTTCAAATTATGACCAAAACTCGCTATACGGCTCCCCCCACCTGACTTTCTAATACGGTCACCGTGCCCCACCCTGTTTGTTTACATTCTTCGTGAGCTCAGTAAGCACTAAGTCTCTCCATTTTGTCTGAAAACTCCAAAATTTCAAATGTTTTTAAAAGTTATTTCATATTTTATATATACTCTGATAATTATACTTATGTATACCTGTACTTAAATAAACTTACATACTGTGCTGGCATGCAGGTACACATTAAAATCAGTAAGAGTGTCTTATGTCTCCAGACGTCATATTAGTAATGATAATAATAATCATCGAGTCTCATTTAAATGTCGTATATTATGTTAAATACACATTTTCGTTAATCGATCTATGATATTTTTTCAAAATTATGTAATAAACACGATACATAACATAAAAAGATGATAAATACACCCCACAATAGAATAAATAAACATAAATATGAGATGTGGTAGCCAGATAACTTGTACAAGTGACGCCATATTAGAAATGATAATAATAATAATCACCGAGTCTCATTAAATGTTGTATATTACGTTAATATGCACATTTTCATTAATCCATCCATGATATTTTTTTCAAAATTATATAATAAACACGATACATAACATAAAAAGATGATAAATACACCCCACAATAGAATAAATAAACATAAATATGAGATGTGGTAGCCAGATAACTTGTACAAGTGATGCCAAGAATAACATTTTCTCTAATCTAACATAAGAGAAAATGTGTTACTGGGGGTAACTGTAGAAAATTATCCCTTTCGTATGTATGTAAGTAAGTTTATTCAGGTATACACAAATACAGTTACATAGATTATCATACATAACAACATATGTGTAGAGAACCTAGGATAACCCAAAAAAGTCGGAGTGACTTATTTCCATTGCCTTCACTCAGAGCATCATTTCTTCTCAAAATGATGTTACATGAGAATGGGAGTGTTCTTCTTTATTTATTCTACCGTATCAATGTAGAGACAACCTGTACACCATGTAACTTGTACACAAACCAGATGTGTACACTTTGTTTACAAAACTTACCTTCGCCTGGTTTGTTTACATAACTCTGCGCCTGTACTCTCTCATGCACTCATTCTTTCTCTCTCTCATTTATTCGTTTTATCTCATTTACTTACTCCTGACCCTACATTAAGACTACAAATATTTTAAGGTAAGTAATGAGTGAACTGTATATACATTTTATCGCTCTGGGATGCTTAAATGTAATAGAATATTATGTGTAGATGGGTTGGCCTGGTATGGTAGCCCGGCTGACTGCCATACATACCACACTTGATTTTTTACAATAAATACTACTCATCTCACCCTATATTTTAAGGTAAGTAATGAGTGAACTGTATATACATTTTATCGCTCTGGGATGCTTAAATATCATAGAATTGTGTGTGTGGGTGGGGTGGCCTGGTATGGTAGCCTGGCTGACTACCATACATACCACACTTGATTTCTTACAATAAATACTATTTGTCTCATCCTAGATTAAGACTATAAATATTTTAAGGTAAGTAATGAGTGCACTATGTGTGTATTGTACTTTTTTATTGTTTTTTAATGCCTGGTTCTATTGCTAACAATATATGTTAGTGTAAACTTGTTATCTAGTGTTTGTATGCATTTGTAAGTGGAAAAAAAGGGTGTTCCACTTTACGGCGGTTTCCGCTTTACGGCGGTAGCCTGGAACCTAACCAGCCATATAAGTGG